CCAGGCTTTCATTTTGTTGACACCAAATTCTGACCTTACTATCCAAATGTTGCAGCAGAAATCAAGACTCATCAGACCAGGTAATGTTTTTCCAGTCTTCTGTTGTATTGTAGTCTCAGTTTCCTGTTCTTAGCTGACAGGAGTGGCAACCGGTGTGGTTTTCTGCTGGTGTAACCCATCCGCATCAAGGTTTGACGTGTTGTGCATTAAGAGATGCTCTTCTGCATACCTCATTTGTAACAAGTGGTAATCTGAGTTACAGTTGCTCTTCTATCAGCTCGAACCAGTCTTGCCATTCTCCTCTGACCTCTGGCATCAACAAGGCATTTGCGCCCTCAGAACTGCCGCTCACTGGATATTTTCTATTTTTCTGACCATTCTCTGTAAACCCTAGAGATGTATAAACTAATCCAGTAATAGGTTAACTACAATATATCGGACCCTCCCTCATTCTTGTCTTGACAGTTTAGCTATGTACAGAGAGCAGTCTGCTGGTTTTGTATCCAGACTGTAATAACACAGATCTGACCACTTATTATGCAAACAGTTTCAACTTTATGCGCAGAGAACATCATGGATCTTACTATAAATCAATACAAGAACAGCTTTAATGGACCAGAGGCTTTGGAGTGTCTAGCACAGCTGATCCGCTTCTGCAGGATATTTCTCCCGCAGAGAGGAGTGAGTGCGGGATCAGGTAACGATCAGAGTCTTGCCGAATTCTGATATTACCTAATTTCAAAAATGTTTTCACTGCAGAGAAAAAGTTAAATGTTGCTCTTGTTGACTACAAAATGGAAATAAAATGCAAAAAAATATTATTATAATTTGACGGACAACGGAAAAAAATTTATGGCGACCTCTGCTCCAAACTACGAACATTTTTGTCTGCCTCTCCTTTCTTCAGTTGTTTTTTAATTTAATTTATTTTTCTCCCAGAGGATCAGCAAATAACTTATTGGTGGATTATCATCACCAAATAAGTTGCTTTACCCTTTGAGTTGCACCGCAGGTCAGCACACAAGGAACATCCAGCAGAATTGGAGGCTTGCTTTTATAAGTACGAGTATACTGGAGGCTGATATCGCACCTGATCTATTTATATGTATCATCACATGGCCTTATATATAGTTTTATACATTTTCTTTTCATATATTTATTATACCCTTCTTTGCATATTAGGGTGGCTTTCAATGAGTCCAGATACTGTATAGGAATGACCTGGTGCTGTTACATGTCAGTCCTCGGGTAGCACCTGGCTGAGCCAATCAGATATCAGGGGGGGCCTGTGCCTCCCTAAACCTCTTTCTGACTCTGCCTCTGTATTTCCATAGAAAAGAGTTGAGGTAAACAAAAGAAAAATAAATGCTGCTGTGCTCTCGATGAACAAAGTGATCTTTTCTATATCCACTCTACACATTATAGTACACACTGCAGTTTGCATGGCTTTGAAGTCCTAATATAATCCTCCCAAAAATGTGAGGAGCTTTAGACAGAGTGAAAATGACTATATTATATTATACTGTATATGTATTTAACTGACACTTCACAATGTAGACTACCAATGAAAGCATCCAAAAGTGAACATACATTCACTAGCCACTTTATTAGGTACACCTGTCCAACTGCTCATTAACGTAAATGTCAAATCAGCCAATCACATGGCAGCAACTCAATGCATTTAGTCATGTAGACATGGCCAAGACAATCTGCTGCAGTTCAGACTGAGTGTTAGAATGGGCAAGAAAGGTGATTTAAGTGACTTTGAACATGACATGGTTGTTGGTGCCAGACGGGCTGGTCTGAGTATTTCAGAAACTGCTGATCTACTAGGATCTTTATGCACAACCATCTCTGGGGTTTACAGAGAATGGTCAGAAAAATAGAATATATCCAGTGAGCGGCAGTTCTGAGGGCACAAATGCCTTGTTGATGCCAGAGGTCAGAGGAGAATGGCAAGACTGGTTCAAGCTGATAGAAGAGCAACTGTAACTCAAATATATTACAGGAACAATCAATCAAAGTGCAGATGTCCTTTAGACATCAACAAGTGCAATGCACTGCACAATAAATGCACATGCAGTTCCACTGTTAAGCTCCAATTCATCACACATCTCAGATGACAAGCGCCAAATATATTACTGTTACTGTTCACCGACCACAACCTAGTGATGAGTTGACTCCCGTAGTGGGGGAGGATGCCAGTCAGACCTGGCAGGCCCAAACGTATCATGAGAGTCTGCTGGGAACGTCTGGCAGAGTCTCCTGTGAGACGAAGCTTTAACTCCCATTTCCGGGAGGGGCATTGATCAGAAGAATCAGAAGAATTTTATTGTCATTGTCAGAAAGACAACGAAATTGCAGTGGACCATGTTCCGCACCTCCATTGTCGAGGCGGCTTACCGGAGCTAGGGCCACAAGGTTGTGGGGGCCTGTCGTGGCGGCAACGCTTGAATCCGGTGGTGGACACCTTTGGCGAGGAATGCTGTCGGGCTGAGGAAGGAGTCCTATTGGGCCTTTTTGGTCTGTGGGACCCCTGAAGCAGCCGATGGGTTCTGGTAGTACAAGCGACATGCGGCTTGGGCAGTTTCTGAGGCAAAAACTTGGGTGTGGGAGGAGTTTGGAAAGGCCACAAAGAAAGACTTCCACATGGCTTCAAAGGAATTCTAGTCAACTATCCGGCGTCTCAGGACAGGGAAGCAGAGCAGCACCAACACTTTTTATAATGGGGATAGTGTACTGTTGACCTCGACTCAGGACGTTGTGGGTCGGTGGGCGGAATACTTCGAAGACCTCCTCAATCCCACCAACATGTCTTCAATTGAGGAAGTGAAGACTGCGGACTCTGGGTTGGGCTCTCCAATTTCTGGAGATGAGGTCGCTGAGGTGGTTAAAGAGCTTCTCGGTGGCAGGGCCCCTGGATGTTATAGGCTTTGTATGTTGTAGGGTTGTTTTGGGTAACGCGACTCTGCAATATTGCATGGACATCGGGGGAAGTTCCCAGGGATTGGCAGACTGTGATGGTGGTCCCCCTGTTCAAAAAGGGGGACCGGAGGGTGTGCTCCAATTACAGAGGGGTCACACTCATAAGTATCGCTGGCAAGGTCTATTCAGGGGTCTTGCCAGGGATGACTCTTGGGCTCTCCCTTTGACATAGGGTGAGAAGCTCGGTCTTCCAGGAGGGACTCAGAGTAGAGTCGCTACTCTTTCACGTCGAGAGGAGCCAGTTGAGGTGGCTCAGGCATCTGGTCAGGATGCCTCCTGCCTGTTGAGGTGTTTCAGGTACCTTCCATCGGGAAGAGGCTCCAGGAACACCTAGGACATGATGGAGGGACTATGTTTCTCGGTGGGCTTGGGAGCCCCTTGGGATCAATCCAGAGGAGCTGGCCCAAGTAGCTGGGGAGAGGAAAGCCTGTACAGAAGTCCGGGCAGCACAGGTGAACAATGAGGCAAAGAACTCAGACACTAGTACCACTGGAGACAACACCCGACTGGAACAGTCTGCTGTGATGCAGAACCTGGACTCTGGGGTGGGGGCAGTGTCTAGAATCCTATTTATAGTTTTCTAGACAATACTGGAACACAAACTTTTTTGTACTGTTGTAACCATTAAACAATCTCCCCTTCAGTTCAACCATATAAGTGGAGACCACCTTTTATTGCTACCATTATAAAATAACCTGCAATTAATTATTGGCAAAGATCAATGTTATTTTCACAGGTGGCGGAGTGTTGTCAGCAGCTGCTGAAAGTAACTAAAAAAGTTACTTTTAATGTAACTTAGTTACTTTCCAAATCAAGTAGTCAATAATCTAAGTTACTTTTTCAAAGTAACTATGTCATCACTGTGTATACACTATTTTTTTACCATTCAGGCATACATAATATAAGTAACTTGTGTAAATTAAGACTAAAGGAAATTACTTATACCTGTAAAGACATAGAGCCATGGATAAAATGATACTCTTGTTTTTTTCAAGTTTATTGGTCATTTTTATGTTCTGCACAATAAATAGTTCATAACTGTTTAATTAGAGAACTGATATCTCGCAAGTTTAGAAGAATAATTATCATATAGTAGAAATATTTTTTAATTATCTCACAACAGGGAAAACTCCAGTTCAACAAAAGCAAAATGATAATCAAGATTCACACAAAGATAAAACTCATAAAAACAAATTAATGGTAACAATGGTTACAATCAAAATACGACAAACTTCATGTTTCAAATGTCTTTCATGACTGTGTGTAGGCAGCCATAAAATACTGTAAAAACTGGAAAGATATATCCACACATTGCTCACCAGAATGTGACGCTGCTGTCTGGATGGCAGCGGTGTTAGCATGAGTCAAGGCTCTGAAACGGCCAACAGAAGCTTTCCATTCTCTCCACTACGTCAAGAAAAACAACTCATTCCTCATTGCTCCATTGACCTGCCGCTGAATATTGAAATCCGATGCAGAGAAAAGTCATTGTTCACCGCTTGCTTGGAGCTTCAGTGAGTGTCAAACTCACTCCATCACTTCTGTATTGCAGCAAGTTTGAAATTTTGTACCCTTTGTTTTTCTTCTCTTTTTGCTGCTACGTCTGACCTCACCAAAGGCCAATCAGTGAACAGGAACTAAGCTTGCATCACCCATGCAAGTGCAGGAACCAAAAAAGGAGGGACGGACCTGGAAAAAAATGCAAGTGGAAACGCTTGTGATGCAGGTCAAGTAGAGTGGAGCTGGGCTCATTAGAGCCAGTGAAAAAAGGCCATTAGTGCCAGCTGCCAATACCTTTGCTGCAATGAAGTATAAGTCAATAAAAGCTTACTTCCTTACTTTCGGTGCTATGTTTATGCCTTATGCCTTATGGTCAGCGCTAATTTATATTTACCTAGGTCTTTTAACAAGTTGTTTAATCCACTAATTACATTAGTACAATTTCTTTTCTTGAATTTTCATAGTACATTTAGTGTGTCACTCTTGAGATAATCTTTTATGCTTGTATTCAGCAGTAGAGGACAGAAAACTTTTTATTGGAATGATCTCCAAGAAGTGCAATGAAAACGACATCCGACTGATGTTCTCTCCATATGGCCAGATAGAAGAATGTCGGATACTTCGAGGCCCTAATGGACTCAGCCGTGGTAAGAAATAATTTACACACAACAGTACCTTGCTATTTTAAGGGACAGTATTATGTTTATTTTAGGGATGCTCCGATCAGGTTTTTTGCTGCCGATTCCGATACCGATTACCAGGGGTGAAAGTAGGGGGTTACGGCAGGGTACTGCGTACCCCTAAAAGATTTAATTAGCGGGGGTACGTAGTACCTGCAAGAGAGGGGAGCAGCTGTCAGCTGTAGAAAATCAACGGGTTCACTGTGCAGCCGTGAGTTCACCCACTAATCAGCCGTGACTGATTAGTTTTTCAAGAACAATCTAAAACACAACTTAATCAGTTAATAAATAGCTTTATTCCCATTTCATATTGTTTCTGAACTGTCCGTGCTTTGTTAGAGCCTTTGTTAGAATCAAACCCTAGGAGACAAACTGAACGCCGCCAGGAGGCTGAGACCAGCACGCCCTCCTCTGATTGGCTTAAAACGTTCATAACTTTATTAAAGAACAACAATAAAAAAATCAATAAAACATGTTCAAATTAATGACTCAACAATAATAATCTCAGTGATTATTGTTTCAACAAGGTGTTGCGCAATTCTGTGCGTTTCAGTTCCATTACCAAAATAACTAGCAGAGCAGGAGTTTAAAATTAACTAATCAACCTCCGCTGTGCTCAGGGAGGATTATTAATGATCACAAAATAAATATAGAGCCTGAAAACCTAATAACGTAACGACTGAATGTTATGTTTTTAACGTAATCTCTGGTCAGCTTGTGGAGTGCAAGAGGTTGCCATGGCAGTAGGTGTGCTTAAATGGCAAAGAGAGACGGAGAGTAAAAATGTGTGAGTGGTTTAGAGTTGATCACCTGTTCAGTTATTTTACCTTTGTTTACCTTTGCTGTGGCTCATCACAGCTGCTGTAGTTTCTGAACGTTCAATAAATGACAAACTATTGGAGAATTGAAAGGTGGCTTAACTCTTAAATATATAAGTAAAAGAAATAACGCACAGAGATGTAGTTCTTGCTGCTAGGCCATAGATGAGCCGGAGATTTATTACATTACCACGGATTCCTCATTACAGTTTCATCAGTTCAATACTCAAAAATCTTCCAAAGTCTCAACAAAAAAATCTCCCCGTATTCTTAACATCACCCTTTTTTATACACTCTCATCTTCACTGATGTGAGTTGGAAAGTTTCAAACAATGGCGTTGCTGCTCTTGATTTGCGCAAAGATTCTGGCGTGCCTTATACTAAGTGTGTATTGGACGACCTTTAAAATATTTGAGACCTCATGAACTCAACATCTGCTCCATTTCAGAATTGCTCAATAGGACAATTTATCTCAGATTGTTGATCTTATCTCTCAAACGGCATGTTTTCCAAGTCATTTTTTGGTTCCTTTTGTGCTTTGCATGCAAATGGAATGAAAGGAGTCAGGTCAGTTTGACCTAGAGAGGTGCCAAAATCCTTTCGCAAAAACAACTCCTTAAATAGTATTTCCGCTCTTACAAAACTTGGACTAATTACCTCGTTCTTTGTGAGTAGCTATTCGTCATTTACAACAAACACCAAACACAGTAAATAT